CCAGGGAACCAGCGAGGAGACAAGAAGAAACCGCCTCCAGGGGAGGTTCAGGTTGGACATCAGCAGGAATTTCTCCATGGAAAGGGTGGTCAGGCATTGGAAGGCACCATCCCCTGCCCAGGGAGGTGGTGGAGTCCCCATCCCTGGAGGTGTCCAAGGAAGGACTGGACCTGGCACTCATTGCTGTGGGATGGGGGACAAGGTGGGGATCGGGCACAGGGTTGACTTGATGGTGTTGGAGTTCTTTTCCAATGAAAACAATTCTGTGATCTTGTGAATTGAGGCCACCAGCAGCTGATGGGACTCCTGGAGAAGCCCTCAAGGGAGGAGATGAAGCACAGCAACACCCTGGAAGCGGGAAGCGCTTTGTTGGACAAACACACATGGACACGGACCCTTTCAATACAGTTCATGTTTAATTTGGACGTTGATCGCTCCACAAAGCACCTCCTCGGCCCCCCCTCCATCCATCCCACACAGACACCCCTCCGCTCCCACACGGACACCACGCTGCAGCCAGCGTGGGCCAAGAGACACCACCACCTCTCCCAGCCCCAAACACCCCGTTTCTCACCTCTGCCCCCCCAAAATCCTCCCCTGGGCCCTTCTCTCTCACCACACCAGGACATACGTAACGTTCCTCCACAGCTCAAACAAGTCAAAGAAAAGGAAAACCAAAGCCAAGGCTCTCAAGGAGGGAAAATCCACACCCTGACAGCCCCTGTGAACCCCTCGGCTCCTCAACCTGCTCTGCACCTGCCACGTGTCAAATCTAGACAGTTCTGGAATTCAGCTGAAATTCCCTTCAGGACGGTGGGAAGGAGACAAGCAGAGAGCAGGATGCTCCTTCCACACCCTTCTCACAACATTATCAAGTCTCAAGGAAAAACCTCAGAGGTTTTGGGATAGTTACACACGTTAAACACTCCCAGGACCCTCCTAACTCAGCTCCTGCCAATGACCAGGGTCAATTCACCTAAACCATGTCAGATATCCAAGCGTCCTGCTGGCACTGACAGCCCTGGGAGCACAGGGACACTGGTGCCACCCCCAATATTGCACAAACAGCTCCAGAGGGCTGGGAAGAGCCCTTGGAGCCAGGTCCCTGCACCCACACAGCACCTGGGAGGAGGCTTCACTCCCACCATGGAGCAGCACCACAGGTTTTCACCCCTAAAACCAGGACATCTCCCAGCACCATCCGTGAGGAAACCCCTCTCCCCAAAAGGGGCTGAGTTCCTCCGAGAGAAGCAGAATAAAACAGGAATGCACTTCCCAACTGCTTTGCCTGCAGCACCAAATCATCTCCATGCTTCCCTACACGTCCATCTGCAATGGCCAAGGCACCACCACATGCTCCCTGGAAGGGCCAGGTCTCCCCCTTCTCCCCTAAGCACCTCTCTGTGGGGAGAAGGACTAATCCACGGAGCACAGCACGCACGAGGCAGCCGAATTCCGCATCATCTCCCGAGACCAGCCCAACCACGCAAGATCCCGACGTGGAATAGAGGAAAGGGGCTCACCAAGCCCTGAATCCTTCCTCGTTAAGGCTTAAACAAGCGATTCAACTGCTGCCAAAAAGAAGGAAGTTAATTCAAAAGAAGCAAACCCAAAGCACCTCAGAGGCTTCGCTCCCCTCTCCCGGGCGGAAAATCTGTCCTCGGCACCCACTCGTGCCATGAGCCTGCCTGGCAGGGCTTGGGTTTTAAACCAGCCAGAAAAAGGCAAACTGAACTCTCACAAAAGCCCCTCGGGTGGGACTGACACGGTAAAAACACAACTGAGGCCAAGTTTTAAAGTGTCTTTGAAAAAAAAACCACCCCACACGTCCGTACACACACACACACACACACACACTTTGGCACACGGAGCCTTAAGTTGTGTCACTTGGAACATTCAGAGTCAGAGGGAGCTACTGGGAAGGGCTTTTTTTTTTTTTTTTAACCTGTTTTGTTATTTTTCCTTGTAAAAAGGTGTCAAGCAGTGGTGGTGAAGCATGAAGGGTGAGGACAAACGCTGAGCGGTGCCAGGGTGACCCTGCTCAGCGCTTGCGCTCCGGTTACGTTCCCAAAGCTTAGCTGGATACATACACGGATATAAAAACACAGACATTCCTGGTTTTCAATGTGAAAACGGTAACATGGAATCGAGTACTTGTGCATTTGCCCTAGGGTCCTTTGGAAAAGGAACCATAAAAATAGATATATTTTTTTTTTAATAAAAGTCTTTTTTTTTTTTGTTTTTTTTTTTTTTTTTTTTTTTTTTTTTTTTTTTTTTTTTTTTTTTTTACCCTTAACTTAAGTAAAGAGCAAATATACACCTACAAGCAGAGTTCAGATCCACTTTACTGAGAGCCTGGAAGTCCGTACATCAAATTTAATTCCCAGTGGCGTATCCAGACATGGGAACAGCTCCCAGCTCCAAAGGGCCGGTGTTCCTGGCAGATCTGCAGCTCTGGCTAACCTTGTTAGCCAGCAAAGCCTCATTCCAGCCTTACCTCAGCCAGCACTCCCCAACAGACTCCACAGCTGAGCCTCACACCCAGGACCCGGCTCTGGGAGCATTAGAGCTGGAAAGCCGGGCAACAAACCCAAATCCCAGCAATTTCAATCCACATCAGGATGTAAACAAGGAAAATATAAGCCCTGAGCTTACATTTCCTTATTACTCAGCAGCCAGAGCACTGATTCCAGCTACTGAGAAACAGCTTCCAGAGGAGAGCTGGGAGGAACTTCAGTGACAGAGAAACGAGCTGTGCAACAAGAAAGTGCATTAAAGTAGCTTAAAACCAGAGTAAAGATCAAATGGCCACTCGACAGGAGGGAGAATCAAGCTCCAGCAGCTCCTCAGGCTGGGTGAGTTAACATCCAGGCTCTCTCTGGCAAGTCCAAGGGGCAGGAGAGAAGAGTGCATTCCCGTGCTCCCACAGGGACACAGTTCTCCTGGCAGGCCATGCTCTCCTGCCCGGTTTGCTTCTGGGTGGTATCAGATCCGGACTGTCATCGGAATTCGTAGATAGGAGCACTGTGCTCAGGAACGTGAGTTAAATTCAATGACTGATACCTGGGAGAGAAGGAAAACATCGAGGAGAGGATTACAGGGAGCTCCTGCTGGCTCTTCTCGCCCCCTTTACAGTCTCAGAGGTGTTCAGGCATCCAACACCCACTTCCCACAGTGCCAAAATCCCATCAGGACTCCTCATCACTCTGTACAACTCCCTGACAGGAGGTTGGAGCCAAGTGGGGGTTGGTCTCTTGATAGGACAAGGAGAAATGGCTTCAAGTTGTGCCAGAAGAGGTTCGGGTTGGATATTAGGGAAAAAATACTTCACTGAAAGAGCGGTTAAGCCCTGGAACGGGCTGCCCAGGGAAGTGGTGGAGTCACCATCCCTGGAAGTGTTCAGAAAACAGGCAGACTTGCCACTTAGGGTTTAGTGGGAATGGGGGGATTTGGTCAAAGGTTGGACTCAGTTTTGGAGGTATTTTCCAACCTTAATGATTCCATGATTCCCACGCTGGTGCCTCTGAGCCACCAGCAGCCAGGCAGTGTTCCAGGTGGGCTGCCTGTGGTGGGGTTTCTTTGGACACTCTTTGAAATTCAACAACTTTCATGTTCAAACAGTGTTTGCTACAAGTGCAAATTACACTTGAGTCTTTCAAAGCTCAGCTCGAGGGGATGTGTCTCAAAGTCTCCTGGTTCCTTCCCTCCCCCTGAGAGCTTCACTTGCTGCTCAGGACAACGATCCAAGGGAAAAGAGCTCTCCAACAAAACCCCCACCAATTAGCCTTGACTGTTCCTTTGTCTTACAGCAACACCCCAAGGACCTCGGAATACAAAGCCCTGGTCTGACAGGATTTCTGCCTGAAGGGAACAACAGCCAAGCTGTTACATGTGAGAAAGCACCAAATTGCCTCTCAAAGCTCCCCTGACATCCTCTCCAGACTCTCTATCTCCCCCTCCTCCACCCTGCCAGCCCAAATTTCCCCCCCTGTGCCAAAAGGGCAGCACTCATACCACACCAATGGGCTGCCCCAAGCTCAGGCCAAGCACAGCCCACAGCCCTCCCTTCTGCCCTGAGGTCCAGCCTGAACCTCCTGCCTGGACACTCCCAAGGCTGTGGATGAGCAGGACAGGACTCACAGCTTTGAGTCCTCAGGAGGCAGGAAGCTTCCTTACCATTCTGAACTCCTATGGTAGTAATAGCCCTCTATAGATGCTGCTGACTTCTGGAAGCAGATGTAATAGAAACCAGCAAAGGAAGCACCACTGATGTCCTTGATGGTGTGATCTGGGACTAGGAACTGCTCCTGCACACGAAATACAGGCTGCATTTTAAAATGTTGGTCAAATATAGCCCCACCCCACCCCAATCTGCCCTCCCAAACCAAATATTGGCACCCACTAACATGAAGACATTCCTGGCTGAGCACTCCCTGCACTTGCAACAGCCCAGACCAGAGACCAGAGTGTCCCTTCACCACCTGCCACCACAGGCATCTCACAGGGAAGTAGATAACTGAGAGCAGAACCAGTTTTAAGAGTACAGGATACCAGTTTCAGTTCAACACCTGCCCCTTGTGAACCAGTAGCCAATTGCAAAATCAGGAATCAGAGCCTGAGAAAGAAGGGAAGGCTCCAGGGAGATCTTACTGCAGCCTTTCAAAGCTTGTGAGGGCTTGTGAAAAAGCTGGAGAGAGACATTTACCAGGGCATGGAGGGACAGGACAAGGGGGAATGGCTTCACACCGACAGAGGGGCAATTTAGATTAAATACTAGGAAGAAATTCTTCCCTGTGAGGGTGGTGAGGCCCTGGCACAGGTTGCCCAGAGAAGCTGGGGCTGCCCCATCCCTGGAAGTGTCCAAGGCCAGGTTGGAGAGGGCTTGGAGCAACCTGGTCTAATGGAAGGTGTCCCTGGGTTGAACCAGATGAACTTTATGTCCCTTCCAACCCAACCCATTCTGTGGTGACTCTCTGATGATCCCAGCTGACGAACAGAGGTGCAGAGTGGTCACTCTACATCAAACACACACAGGCCCCACACCGTGGCTGGAGAAACCAATTCTCTCATCCTCTGAACCACCACCAAGCAAGATTTTCCTGTTGTGTTTTTAGCCATGACTGCAGCCCTTAAGGACACAATTAGCTGGCTAGACACGAGTCACACTGCATCTTGCAAGTACAGTGGGTTTTGGGGTTGGCAGGGTGAGATCCTTCATTAAATCATCATAGCTGAAAAAGCTTTCAGGCACCACAAGCCTCTGCCAGTGGCTTGCAAGCAGCTCATCAGAGAAGGAGACACGCAGAGTTTACCTTCCATCTCATGAAGACATAGTCTCCATTTTTCAGATCTTCATAATCAAAGTCATCAGAGTTAAATGTTTTTGCATACTGGTAAAAAGCCTGGAACTTTCCCTGAAACAAAAATGAAGAGAAAAAAACCCAAAACAAAACAGGCTGCTTATTCCAGGACTAGAGCTCTAGTGCCAGCTGTTGTTTAGGAGGGAAAAACTACTGACACCCACAGCCATATCCAGGCTAGCTAGAGAAGCTCCTACACTTCCAGAGGAAAATATTTTGACAGAAGTATAATAAACACCAAAGCCTGGCAAACAACAGCAAGGTCGTGGCTGCTGCGGTCCCAGAGCACAACAGCAGCAACACCCTGCCCTGAGCAGACAGAGAGGTACCAACTGCCAGAGGGATCCCTCTCCCCTTCTCCATTCCATTTTTTCTTCAAAAATAAGGAGTGTGTTCTCTTAGGGGGTCAAGAGATGGGGATTGCTCCTGCTCCCTTCTAACCCCAGGGCCAGTAAGTGCAAAACAAGATGTCCCCTCCCTCATCACGGATCACAGCTTGCTGAAGTGACTTTCCAGTCGGGGAAGGAGGGAAACACCCAAAAATGAGAGGTTTCCAAGCATTTCTGACAGCTCTTCCACGGGCACACTTCTCCTCCAAAGCAGCTGCCCAGACCCACACGTATCCCAGATTTATTTACCCAGTGTTTACGATCCACATCTTCATCAGCGTCCCACTTGCGCGTTAGGAACGGGTGTTTCTTACTGATTATCTCGCCTTCAAAGAACGTGGTGAGGGTTGGGTACTCCTGGGAGAGAAGAGACACACAGGTGGGGTCAGAACTGTCACCTACAGACACAAACCCAAACGCAGACAGAGCTCCATGCACTCAGCAAAAAGCATCTCACAGTGACAGTTCTGGGAAATCCAAGGTCCCTCCTGCCCCACACCTCTCCAAGGTTGACTCCTCCACAGCCACAGCCTCCAACCTCTTATTCCAGCCCTTCTCTGCCTCTCTCTTTGCTGCATAAGGCCAGAAGGAGCCATGTCAGAGCTGAAATGCAGGGAAAAGTCTGGAGCAGCTGAGGGAGCTGGGGGGACTCAGCCTGGAGAAAAGGAGGCTCAGGGGGGACCTTCTCACTCTCTGCAACTCCCTGACAGGAGAGGGGAGCCAGGTAGGAGTCAGGCTCTGCTCCCAGGGAATACGGGACAGGACAAGAAGAAATGCCCTCAAGTTGTGCCAGGTGAGATTCAGGTTGGATATTAGGAAAAATTTCTTCACTGACAGCATGGTCAGGCATTGGCAGAGCTGCCCAGAGCAGTGGTGGAATCACCACCCCTGGAAGTGTTCAAAAAACATGTGGATGTGGCACCTGGGGACATGGTTTAGTGGTAACATGGTAGTGCTGGATTAATAGTTAGACTGGATGATCTTAGAGGGCTTTTCCAACCTCAATGATCCTTTGAAGCTCCCAGCTGGACAATCACCAGTGACATTTACAGCCAGCACCACTCCCCAGTGGATACCCCATGATCAAATCCACAACATGCTCAATCCCTCCACTTCCCACTTCTGGCAGCAGCTTCTCCTATCCCACCAGGGAAAAAAAAAAGCCTTTAAACAGCACTTTTTTGTGGTGTTTTGCAGTTAACACTCACCTCTGTAAGGCCTTTAATCTTCAAGTATCCACAGAGATAGGAGTTTTCCATATCCACATGCTAGAAAAGAGTGCAAAGTCCAACCATAAAAATAGGCATGAAGGTACATGGTTGATCCAAAGCAGCTTCTAACCCTATCAAGGATAATTTCAGCTTCAGCTGGTACAGCCGCCAGCTCTTTCCCACACCGAGAACCACCTGGAAAGGTCGTTTACAGGTGCCCAGCTCACCTCTAACAGCCTCTACATCCCAGGCCTGTTTCCAAGGCAGCACCCTCTGCCCAGAAGTCTCCAGCAGGAAGCAAACCCCACTTTCCAGCCGGAAGGAATCCAACCCACAGTGTTCTCCAAGCAAAAGCATCCCTGGCAGAATCACCCACACACCCACAGCACTTTGCAGGAGGCCCTTCTCCTAAATCTAAAGCTTTTATGTCACCTGTCTTATGAGTTATCAGGCTGCATCTCTCTACTCTTTCTGTGCAGAAGCCAGGCAAGGCCTTGCCTGCTCCAAGCACCTCTAAAACCAGGGGATTTTCCAAGCTTTTCCCTGGCATCTCCAGGGATGTGAGTTATTCAGGGAGTGAGTTATTCAGAGAAGTGCAAGCCTCAGCTGTGAGAAAGATGGATCTTCCCCACCTGTGATCAAAGACCGGTGACGTTTCCCTGTGCTCAGCACGGGCAGAGCTGGCAGCCCCCCCTTTCTCCTCAGCTGACACTGGCAAAACCAGCCGCGTTTTCGGCACAAAAAGCAGCGATCTTCCAGCACAAAACCCACAGCGTTTCTAGCACAGGGTGCGTGCAGCAGAGCCCAGCAGCCACGGGATACCCCCCAGCACAGCGAAACACCCCCCACCACCACCACCACCAGGAACGTGGGGGAGAATTACACATAAACGCGGCCCAGCGGGCATCAAGGAAATCATTTAGGCCGGGAAAGACCCCTCTGAGATGGAGCCCAAACCGACAGACTTCCCTTAAAACACCGCCAGGGATGGCGACTCCGCCACCTCCCTGGGCACCCCCTTATGATGTTTAACGATGTTTAATGAAGAAACTGGCGATGGTACCGAAAGGATGGGGGTGATGCGGGTGCTGTCGCAAGGCCGGCGGGGCGGGAACGGCCAGACCGCGGGCCTGAGGCGAGCGGGTCCCGCTCGCCTCAGGCCGCGCGGTGCCGTTTCCCGCCCGCCATGGGCTCGTCTCGCCACGCACGCCACCCCCCTCACCTGCATGACGACCTCCACTATAAGCGTTGCTTTGCTGCGCTGCTTGCCGCGGAATTGGCGCCGCTTGTACAGCAGCGAGGTGGCACGCCGGGCTGCGGTTTGATGGGGGGGGCGTCACCAGGCTCTGGCGGCCGTTTTGTTCTCCCCGCCGGTGCCGGCGAGGAGGAGCGGAGGAGGAGGACGAGGAGGAACGACGACGACGAGACAGCCGCTCCAGCTCCGGCGGACGCCTCTCGCTCCAGACAGGCATCTCGGGGGTCCCGGGCGCCAGCGTGCCGGGGCGGGCGCGGCCCGGGCGGGCGGGGGGAGCACCGCCGCCGGCTCCGCTCCGCTCTCCCCTCACGCGAGGCCGCCGCTGGTCGGGGCCTGCCGGCAGCGCAATTCGCGCGCATCCATTGGCCGCGCGCGCCGCGCGCCGATTGTCGCGGGCGGCGCCGCCGCGGCGCGATTGGTTGCGAGGTGCCGAGGGGCGTGTTGGAAACGTATTCGCCGGCGGGGATTGGTGAGGCGCCGGAGATGCGGCGCCCAGGGAGCGGGCTGAGCGCGGTCGGGGGCGGTGGTGTGTTCCGGCTGTTCGCGATGTGGCGCGGTGTCCGCGGCTGCTGTTGGATCGCTCCTGCCGCATCTGGGTTCCCGGTGCTTCTCCCGCTGCGGAGCGGCCCGGCGGGGCCATGCGGGCGCCGGGCCTATGCCCCGCCGGGAGTGGGGAGCGCGGGGAGGATCCAGGCGGCCCTTGGGAAGGAGGGTGCCAGGGTCCTCTGTCCCTAGGTCACTCTGGCAGGGCAGGGCTGGGATCGGGAGGAGAACGGCCCCGCGTGGACCGGGCTCCCCACGGGCAGAGAGCGGTCCCGTGCCGGGGCTCCCCCCGCACCCTGCTCCGGGCTTTAGGGGGTGTTCCGAGCCGGGGGGTTCGCTGGCAGCACGGGGGAGTCCTCAGTGCACCAGTGTCTCACTCGTGGGTTTGTGTTTTGTTGTTTTCTAGGGATTTTGGGGGGATGGGACCCAGCCGCGGAGGGGGGGCTGTTCAGGCGTGTTCTGGGCCGTGTGTCCCCTCCGCCGATTCTGCTGGAATCGCGTGGGTTTGAGGGCAGTAAGATTAGTCTCGTTCTGTCCGAGGTGAGACTGCAGAGTCGCGGTGACTCATGGCAGGGTTTTGGGAGCCCACTGATGTGCCTCAGGGCTCCTCTGGGGGACACACACACTTCAGTCTGTTTTTAGAGCTGTGCCTGTGGCACTTTCTGAGGCCCCAAAACTCACAGGTCGCTGAGCCTGAGCAAATCCTTCCATTTCCCCAGCGGGAATGTGCTTTTTTTAGCCAGGAATAACAGACCTGCAGCCTGACCTGCTTGCTGTGCCCTTCACAAGTCAGATTTATGGGTTTGGGATTAACAACCTGGTTGCTGTTGTCAAGGGAATGGGTTGTGGATTCTTCCTGCCTTGTGGGAGCGATGTGAGCCTTTGGAATATGTGTAGTCCTGCTCTCAGGTGTTGGGAGTGTGGGCAGCAGTGCTGGTAGGGAAGGAGGCTGCTCCTAAAACGAGACCTGCAGTTCCCTCAGGCTCACCTTGCATGGAGCAGGTGTATTCCTAAGCCGAGTAGCCTGGAGGAGACTGAGGGGAGACTTCGTGGCAGTTACAAATTCCTCAGGAGAGGAAGAGGAGGGGCAGGCACTGATCTCTGCTCTGTGATGACCAAGGACAGGACCCCAGGGAATGGGCTGGAGTTGTGTCAAGGCAGGTTTAGGTTGGATATTAGGAAAAGGTTCCCCCAGAGGGTGGTTGGGCACTGAACAGGCTCCCCAGGGCAGTGGGCACAGCACCAAGGCTGCCAGAGCTTAAGGAGCATTTGGATGATCCTCTGGGGCACAGGGTGGGACTCTTGGGGATGGTGCTGTACAGGGCTGAGGGTTGGACTCCATGATCCCTGTGGATCCCTTCCAACTGGGCATATTCTGTGATTCTGTGAAGCAGAGAGCTGGATGAGGCAGTTGAGGGATTAATTTGTCAAACGTGATTGTAGGGGGAGAATCTGGAAAGGTTGACCCCGAAGTGAAACTGGGAGTGCTGGGACAGGTCTGCTTTGGAAACCACCCCTGCTATGCTCTGGAACTCATTGGAGGCCAGTGCAGAGGGAGCTGAGCTCCCAGCCTGGCAGGAGTGCAGCTGGTTCCATTCACTTCCCAGCTGTGCACTCTGGTTGTCACCGGTTTCCTGGTGCTTCCCAGCTGAGTGGAGCTCACTGGAGTGCAGTGCTGGGAAACTGTGGATGAAGGGCTGGATTTTTGTGGCCAGGCCACCTCAACAACACTAGGGGCTCTGTCTGTTCTGGGCTGTGATGGGGAGCAAGGGAAGGGGTTGAATCTCCTTTAAGTGCCACCTGAGTGACTCTATTTCTGTCCCCAGAGAGGAAGAGGTTCTACCAGAACGTGAGCATCTCGCAAGGAGAAGGTGAGTAGGGCCACAGGATGGTCCCTGGGAGGGATGTCCATCACCCCACACCACGTCAGCGTGGGTCCCACAGTCCAGGCTGTGGGAGGGGGGTGTTTGTCACCAGCTGCTCTGCCCCTTCCTCATCTATGGCAAAGCTGTGTGGTGGGAAACAGCTTCCAAGTGGTGGTGGGAAACTTGAGTATTCCTGGTCCCTCATTCCCCCAGCTCCAGCTCTGACTCTGCTCCTGCTGTGGGGTTGTCTGTTGTTCCTTAGTGCCTGCTCCTCTTTGATTCCCCAGGATTTCTACTCTGATTCCCCAGGAGGCTTTGAAATAAACCTGGACCACCGAAAGCTGAAAACGCCCCAGGCCAAGCTCTTCACTGTCCCCAGCGAGGCCTTGGCCATTGCAGTGGCAACAGAGTGGGATTCCCAGAAAGACACCATCAAGTTCTACACAATGCACCTGGTGAGCACAGCAGGGTGGGATGCTGAGACCTCCAAACGGTCTCCAGATACAGGATGTGGAGCGAGCAGGTTGTCCTGCTCCTAATGACTGGATGTGGCATTCAGTGCTGTGATGTAGTTGACAAGGTGGTGATTGGTCAAAGGTTGGATTTGATGATCTTGGAGCTCTTTTCTAACCTAAGAGATTCTGTGATTCTGTCCTGATGCCCATGGAAACAGGGACAAGAGGTCAGGACTTTCTCTGGGCATCCTGCAGTTGTGAGGGTGATTAGATCATGGCTAGGTGCTTGTCTAGGGGGAATCTCTGCCACTGTGGGGCCTTGAGAAGGGGCTGGACAGTGTTATTGGGAATAGTGAGGGACAGGAGGAAATTATGAGCTCTGGGGCAGTCCATGAGCCCTCTTCCCTGCTGCTTAATGGGCTACTCCCAAGGGTTCTGAAATATTCAGAGAAGATTCCTATTACACAAGCCACGTTCTGGCCCTGCACTCCCTTTTAGCTGCACCCCTCGGTTCTCCATGTGCCATGAATTCCTCTGCTTCTTCTTGACATTGTACCATGGAAGCTGCTGCCTCTCCAAGCCTTGAATAACAGCAGTTTAAACTGCCTTTATCCCCAGACCACTCTGTGCAACACGGCGCTGGACAATCCCACGCAGCGAAACAAAACGCAGCTGATCCGAGCGGCTGTGAAGTTCCTGGAGACAGACACTCTCTGGTACGAGGTGGAGGCCCAGCTGGATTTTGGGGAGGTGGTTGGGGAAAGTGAAGGCAAATGTCTGCTGTAACTTGGTCATGGCAGGGCTCTGATCTGTGCTGGTTTGGGCCCAAGGGTTTGAATTAGTTTAGACCAGTCCTACGTACTCCTGTGCCAGTACAGACACCTCAGACTACTTGTACCAGTAGGAAAAGGCTCTTCATTCTTTAAAGTCCTTGTGGGCTGCAGGAGTAAGCCTGTTCATGCCCAAGCTCCTGTCTCACAGTCCCAGACTCCACTGGCAGCTGCACAGCTCCTGGAGGGAGAGTGAGACAGGCCTCTGGCCCTCCCCCATGGCTTTGGTCAGACTGGGAGCAGGGAATGCTGAACTGAGCTGCTGGGCAAGGAGAGACATAAGTGGCCCCACACAGAGTTCCAGTGGGATTTGTCTCCTCCTCTAACTGCTAAACCTCACTGCATCTTGTGGCTTGGGGCTACCTGCAATTTTCACTTGGCCAGTTCACTGCTCTGTTTTGTAGTAAGATAGAATTGTCCTTCCTGGAACAATAAAAAGCTCCAAATTTAGGGAAGAGTGGGGGGATTGTTCCCAGTCACTGCTACCTGGGTGGACAGCAGGCCCTTGCTGCTCTTGCTGTGGTCTGGTGGGGTCAGTGTTTTTCCCAGAAGTGTGTCCCAGCCTGGAAGTGACCATCCAGTGTGGTTTTGTCCCAGCTATCGTGTGGAGGAGCCTCCAGCCTTGGCAGAGCTGCAAAAGAACGAATGGGATCCAGTGGTTGACTGGGCTGAGAAAAGGTAAGAGCTCAAAGGTGTTTTTGTCTGATTATGCCCTGCCTTGCTGAGCCCAGGAGCTCTGGTGCTTGTGGCTGCCAGAGCCACAGCTCCACAAGCCTTGGGCTTTTCCAAGGGCTTGGGTGTCATTCCAGGTACAATGTGACAATTGGCTCCTCGACCAGCATCCTGGGGCCCAACATCCCAGCCAGCACCAAGGAGACCTTCATCAGCCATCTGGCATCCTACAACATGTGGGCCCTGCAAGGTGAGCGAGGCTGGGCCGGGAGCTGTCGGCTCAGCCTGGGCCACTGAGGAGGTGGTTTCTCTCCACAGGGCAGGGAGTGTCCATAATGTTTTTCTTCTCCTGCTTAGAGTGTTGAGGTTTATGTTTTAAATCTGCAGGCCAGGCCCTGAGCTGTGTTTGTCACGGGCAGGGAGTCTCCCCAGTGCCACTGGTGTTCAGGGTCTGACCGTGCTGTCCCATAAGCTGGTTGCTCCCTTAGCACAAATAACTTCTTTAATGCCAAACCTTCTAATTATTTAATCCCCAGCTTTGTTACCAGGAAAAGAAATGGGGCTTAGTACTCCAAAGTGCCCACACTGTGCACTGTCCTCACTTTTTTATCCTTATAACCCACTTGTTCTTGCCTGAACCTGCTGAATGACACCTAAAAGATAAAGAAATGAAGTGACGTTTGCTCTGCTCAGGACCTGAATGAGCAGCAGGCAGTGAAACCCACAAAAGACACAGAATGCTCAGGCCTGGATGGATATCTCTTCCCTTTGCACAGGGAGGAGGGATTGTGGCAGACTAAAAGGAGGTGGAGTCCAGGGCATGGCCTTTGTCACTGTGGTGGCAGGGCCAGCACAGTGCTCTGTGCCTGCTGCTAAACAACAGATCTGAGTGTCCAGGTGCAGGTGGGAGGATCACTGGCCCTCCCTGAGGGGTTGTCACACCCTCCCTGCCTCTTCAGAGTGTGTGAAGATGGTGCTGTAAAGCTGTAGAAAACAGCCATGAATCCTGTTTGTTTTGGGTTATTCCCTTCCAGGTATAGAATTTGTAATCACCCAGCTGAAATCGCTGATCCTGTCCATGGGCCTGATTGACAGGCACATTACAGTAGAGAAAGCTGTGCTTCTGTCTCGCCTGGAGGAAGAATACCAGGTAAATTATGTTACAAAACAGCCCTATAATTCAAATAGCAATAATCTCAGCATGACAAATGCATCCCCCACCACAATTAACTGCCAAGGGAAGTGCCTGCTATAGCAGGAGACGTTCCACTCCACCAGTCTCCACGTCTGAGAGCGTTTGGAGTGTGCTGCTGCAGAGCAACACCATGGGCACAACAGCCCAGAGTGCTCCCAGGGCTGCCAGTTTCTTTTCACAGAACCCAGATGGCTGCTTTTCTCCCTCTCTAATCTGAAGTGCAAAGTTGTGGCTGGCTTCTCTTGCTGTGGGTTATCCAGCCTGGAGGCCTTGGTAGATGCCAAGCTACCAAGCTTGCTGGAAATTAGCCTGGTGTGAAGCTTTCCCTTCCCCAAAAGTGGCTGAAGTTGGGAATCTTTTCACTGTCCTTTTAAGGGGCTTTGCCTCATACCCCAGTACAGATGGAGCATGTCCTCATCTGGAGATGTCCTTAACCCAGCAGTCAATGATCAGAATGTTTCTGGGGGATTACCTGTGCTTGACACACAAGGAGGAAGGCTGAAAGTTGCTGAGCAGCTCTGAGTATAGTCCATGTTCCTCCTCTCCTTCAGATTCGGCGCTGGGGCAAGGTGGAGTGGGCCCACGACTACGACCTGTGTGAGCTCCGTGCCCGCACGGCAGCTGGGACTCTCTTTGTTCACCTCTGTTCAGAGAGCTCAACTGTAAAACACAAGCTGTTGCAGGACTGAGGCAGCTGGGCTGGGCACAGGGGAAAATTCCCACCTGGGAATTGCTGGCCTGACCCAGTGGATGGTAGGCCAGCACTCCTGCCATCCTGTTTTCCCTGGGATCAGCCTCACGTGCTATGACTTTGTGGGCAATTCCTCACTCGGCCTGCCTGCTGCAGTGCAGTGCCAGCAGTTTGAGCCCACAAGGAGGAAAGGTCAAGGTGAGCTTCCCCAGGGCAGCAGCTCCATCCATTCCTGGCGTCTGTAACTCATCTGAGGAGCTCCTGTGGAAGAAACAGCTTCCTGGGCAGGGCACGGCACAGACATACCCAGCATATGCCACATGTCTTCATAGCTGCCAGCTCCTGACACACACTTGTTATGGAAATCTGAAAACAGACTCCACTGCATCTGTTGTTCATCCCTCGGCGTGCCTGCCTGTAACACCAGGGTCTCTGTGTTCCATTAAAGGCTCGCCCCTGTGAGGTACCAAAAGCTGTGTGTTTCTTTGTTTAAATCACCAAACCATGGGGTGGGTCCTGAGCTGCCTGACTCTGGGCAGGTGTTGGGATAGCTCCAGGCATTTAAAATCATGGAGCGGAGCACACACTTAACTACTGTGCCAGCCTCTCCATGCAGCTGAGGAGATAGCAAGGAAACAACTGTGCAGTCCTGGAGCAAGAGGAGGGCAACCTGGGCTCCAGCCATTTTCAGAAGCACGGAGCAGGATGAAATAAATCAGTGTTTGACAGGCAGCACCAGCCACGGGGTTTTCTGAGAGACCCGCTCCCTCCCTGGTGTGCATAGGCAGCCACCCTCTCGTTTAACCTTCCCACCTTCTCCTTGCTGCCTGCCTGGAGCAGCGCCGCCCCGGCCAGCACCGTTCCTCAGAAGCTGTCCAGAAGCGAGCGTGGCAGCGGCTGTCACCGAGCAAGGAGGGGAATTAATGACTCCTCGCTTGGCTGTCGTGAGCGGCGGCGCGTGAGCTCCTGTGGAACCATTGATTTCCCTTCCTGCTGGCTGGGGGCTGCTCTGCTCACGCTGCAGAAAAGCCGCTTGCGAGAGGCGGTGGGAAGATGAGGCTCCCAGGCATGCAGAGCCCCCGCCAGCCTTGTGCCTGCTGAGCTGGAAACCTGCTGTTATCTCGGGGGTGGTTTGATGGAGAGCGCTCCTCTCCTGAGCTGCTGCCTCGTGCCTGCGGCTCACAGGTTCCTGCCACTGTGCTTGCAGGTACCGAAGCTTTCAGGCATGATATGCTACGATGATTTGGTTCAATCAGCTCACAGCTGATCCATAACCCCCTGTGACCAGGTCTGAGCTGCCTGCACGGGCTTCGTGCCAACATGATGGAAGAGACAGAGCTTCGGATGCTTTTCCAGAGTCAAGAAGTAGCTTTTATTTGCGGTTTATGGTGGGATGGAAGAAACGTGCTTTTGGTTGGAAACGTCCCAGGCAGCTCGGGCATAGAGGCAGCTGTTCCTGCTGGGGGCTGTCCTGTGTGCCCCCAGCTGAGGCAGCTGCCCAGCCCTATTCCACAGGCTCCTAGATCTTTGTGTTATCCAGCTCTTTCTGGAGAGTGTTGATGTAGGACATGATCCTTTCGATACAGGCACGGTTTCTGTCGCTCTCAGTTTGGAAAGCCTGGACAGATTGAAACCGAGCAGTGAATCTGCAGGTGTGTCAGGGTCCCTTCCCGGGGTCCCTGGAGCACAGAGAGCTCCAGCAAAGGTCCAGGAGGGTCTCTCCTCGCAGTGGCCCTGCCACCTGGGCCAGAGCTGTCTGTGCCCCGTCCCCCTGAGCACAAGGGTCTCTTACCTTCTCGGTCACGGAGATGTGCCAGTGGTAGGTGTTGCAGAGCATGTCGCTCTCCCGCTTATCAATCTTCCGCAGGCGGATGCTGTGGGACATGTTGACGGCGTTGACAATGGTGTTTTTGTCCACGAGGAGCTGGGAGGTAACGTGACCGGATGAGGGGAGGGGGTGGGCACACAATGAAAGCAGCAGAGCTCGGAGGGAGCAGAACAGCAACTGCAGTGCTCCAGGGGAGAAATCAGCCCTCTGTTCAAACTGGTATATCCCTAGTCATGGGGATGAATCCAATGTTTTACCCTTGGCCTTACTACGGTGTAGTGGAGCTTTATCCCTAGTGCAGGTGGGGAAACTGAGGAAGCAACCTTGGTTTCACGTGCTGGGAGCTATGTGCAGGCAGGGCTCCTGTGCAGCTGGTGCTGAAGCACGGCTGCATATGCTCCAGCATCCCTGGAAATGGAAAATCACATTTGGAAGGGTCTCCTGCACTGGTGGCACTGGCTGTAAATTTTCATTTTTGGAGAGTCCCAGCTTCTAATGGAAGCAGTGACTTCCCCCATGGCTCTAAATAGAGGGTGGCTTTGCTAACCCATAATGACTCTTCTGCAGCCAAGTGCAGCTGTTGGACAAATGGAGATTGCTTCTCCCTGGAAATGGATGGCAGCGAGGCAAAATGGGTGCGTGGCAGCGGAGCAGAACCACCACCATCTGCACGGCCAATAAAGCAGAGAGCTCCCCCCGGGCTCAGGGGTCTGGTTTGTGTCTGTCAGCTCTTGATTACCTGGAGTTACGGAAGGCTGGGATAATCTGGACAGAGCAAAACCACAGCTAATGCAAACTCAAGTAATTGAGACACTAAACGAAGGAATAACAAAGGCAAAAAGGGCAGCAGGAGCACTGCAACAATCCCCGTGGGTTTGGGAAGGCTCCTGGGATCTTTGCTCTCACAGCAAGACTGAGGGGCTGGTGGAAGGCTCCATTTGAAATGTCACATCCTGCCTCCAGGTCAGCTCGAGGGCTGGGGGATCTCCAAGAAGGGCTTTTGAAATCACTGAGGCAAACAGAGCCCCAGTGCATGAAATTCAGAGCGCTGTTGAGATTCTGCTGTGGGAGCAGGGAGAGTCTGAACAAAACCAGCTGTGAGTGAATGCTGCAAAGATGCTGCCTGAGTGCCTGGAAATCAGCCAGAGCACTGAGTTGTGCTGGAGGCAGCAGAGATACTTCTTCAGCATCCCTCCTGAGCTGCTGCCACCAGCTCTGGCAGCACCCAGGGAAACGTGCAGTGCAGTTATCCCCTCTCCTAGTCAGTGGAGATGTCCAGAGCCAAGTGGGGCCTCTAAGAAGGAGGTTATGCTCTGTTTCAGGGATGGCTCTGGCAGCACTGAGTCTCCTGGAAATCCTGTCCCTTCAGAGAAGAGGCTGTGGCTTCCTTTGTTTGCTGACTCCCTACCAGAGATGGATTTTTTTGGTGCCCTCACCGTTAGAACATCAGCTGGCAAATCCTCCTCAAGCTTGCCCTTGAGTGATTTCTCCAATGTGGTGAGAGCAATCTCCATCAGCTTTTCATGGTACTGGTTTTCCAGGTCCCGGCACTGGCCCATCGTACAGAAGATGTCAAGGAAAACGTTGACCACACCCCTCACCAGTGGAGATTAAACAACTTCCTGTAACTGGGACTAAGTGTCCACAGTGGCTTTTGCAGGAAGGAGCCTGGCTGCCCCCAGAAGCTGCTGTGGTGGAGGGTATCTACTTTCAGCTCTTAATCACACATTGGGCCTCATCTCACTGCTAAAAATGACACAGAACTGAAAGAGGACCCAGCTTTGCAAGAGAAATCAGAGGAGGCCTCCAGGTAAAAGCTGAGCTCTGAGTGCAGTGCAATTATTTGCACCAGGCCAATAGATTTCTAGATTTAAAGTAGAGTAACCTGTCACTGAAGCACTTCAGTGTTCTCATCTCCCTTTTTTTCCAGAAGACATCACAAACACAAAAATGAAGGCCATTTAAAGAAATTTCAACAAGAATTGTAAGTATTTCATTGGCTGCTATGGCAGTAATGTATGTAGAAAACAGTCTAACCAGATCTTCCCATGGTTTTGTCTTCTCTGTGTGGAGAAGAAAAGAAAATTCCCGACAGGGTGAAAGCTGCCCAAGTCCCACAGACTTTCAGCACAGGAGAATTTAGATCTTTTTGTGCTCTCCACAGTCTCCACAGGAAGAAGCTGGGCACCTTAAATGACTGTTCCTCAAGGCTGGGAAAAGATATTTGCTATTGATTAAAAAAAATAAAATTAAAAAATAAAGTTTTTATCTTGATGGCTCATTTGTGGATTTAGAGGTGAGGTGTAGTACATCACTGAGAGGTCCAGGCCAACATACTGTGAAAAGGATATATCTCTTTAACATTTTCCATGAATGTTGATACTATGACATCAATGGTTCTTTTAAAACCCTGTAACTGCTCCTTAACAGAGGGGAAAAAGAGGAAATATCACAATGAAAACTTGCATAAACATAACAGGGAGTCAGGGAGTCTAGGAGGAATCTACAATTTACTGTAATTTGGACTCACTGCTGTTATTAGCATAGTCAGAAACTAAACTGCCTCGAGCATTTAAAGTGCTTTCAAAGTGCTGCAAGATTTTCTTTCCTCCTTCAGGGACAGAAAATCAGAATCAGTTTATTGGAGGGAAGTTGACTGAATGATGCCTTTACCAAGTGTCTGGGGCAAGCCAGCTGATCCTTCCTTACCCTCACCCAAGGAATGCCTGGATAGGGCTGTATTCCCACCCCCTGCCATGTCTCCTTGTCTGTGTGAAGAGCCTCTTGTCAGAAGCATAACCACTGCCTGGGCTTATTGCAGCTTTTGGGTTAGTCTTCAGAAATTAAAATTGCTGCTGCCTATTCCCTCCCTCAGAAATGGCTGATGGAGAATCTGTGAAGTGTTGCACTTAAATGTCTTGATACCCAAATCCTGCACATCCAGGAAGGCACACAGGGGGAAAAGTGCTTCTGCTCATCCCATCAGGGACCACAGATAGTGAGGGCCAACTCAGGAAACACTAAAAGGCACAATCCTGATGCGCTGAGGATCCATTCTGAGCTGCTGATTTCTGCCATCCACACTCCCAAAAGTAAACTGCTGCCTCTGCTTGCACACAGGCCACAGCTCCTGCCTGTTCATTTTTAAACAGATTACTTGGGTTTTCTTCCTTAAATGAAGATGCACATTAGCAGCCCTGCCCTAGTTTTTCAGGAAAAGTCTGGGGAGCAAAAGGCAGCTATTATGCAAGCAAATGCAGTAAGCTGAGCAGGAATGTGTGTAATTTTATTCATAGCAAAGATCAGCTTCAAAGAATTACACCTCTAGAATCCCAAATGCACACCCCATGCTATGCAGTGACTTGTGCAGACCTATAAAATGACTGCACAACCTCCCTTTCTCTGAAGTGTGGGAAATCAGCTTGGGGAGATGGGAAGGACATACAGTGTTCTGCTCTGAGAAACAGAAATCTGTTGTAAGGTGTGCAGGGCCTGATTTCACCCATATCAACTTTGAGCAGAGGAAGAATAAGATGGAGACAAAACTTTGGCCTGAGTGAAGTCCCGTGCTCCCCTCTTTGTGGAATGAGCTGCTAAACAGGGGGGCAGCAATAGAAAAGTGACACCCCCCATGTTCTGGCTGTGAGGTCTCACAGGTGTGTCCTTGGTCCTTACCTCCAGCTCGTTGGATAGCAGCGCTTCCAAGGTCATGAGTGTACCTGACAGCTGAAGGATGTCCTCCTGGCACTCGGCTCGTTTAGACTCAGCAACATCGTAACTCCTGGCATGATGAATCTCATCCAGCCTCTAAACACAGAGATACATAAATTACTTACAGTTTGTGTTCAGCACTCCATTGCAATCTAATTAACTTGTTACATATGTGAGAAAAGTTCCTGCTGCTGATTAGCTGAAATGAAATGTGATGATTCAGGGAAGTCTCCACATTTACATACTGGGTAGTCAACAGTGCTGAGGTTTGCTACTGCACTAATGATCCCGATCCAGGGGCAGTGCAGTGGGATTGGGAAAATGCTTCCTCATCCTCCACTCAGCCGAAGACTTTGGCCCTTCTTTGGTTTGCCTTCTGACACATTTCAAGCAAAAAAAAAGAAAAGGAGTAATATTAAATTCCTGACATTGCTGGCCACGAAGAAGAGATTAACAATTACTCGAGAGAAAGAAAAGCAGGCCTAAATCCTGATCCACTTCACACCAAGGAGTATCTTGACTGACTTCCATAGGGTCAGGATTTAGTATTCTGAATATGGAATACCTATCATTGCCTGCCTTCCCCTTACAGCAAGGATTTATTGCCCTTCAGAATTAAATATTGACGTCAGTTTTGTATCAGGCAAGATTTATGTTTTCTTGGATCAAAAAAAAAAAATCCTCTTGTGCTGAGCAATGTATTCTTTTCAAACCTGTTTAAAATAAGTTAACAATTGTTAAAAAAAGGAGGAAAAATATATATGTTTTATTATATCTAATCTACTTCTCCTGAGTGGGAATGGAACGGGCTAAAATAAAGAATTCTGATGAAAACCACTCCCAAAGGAAATGGACCGAATTATCTAAATTTTGCAGTGTTAAAAGGGGGAAGGGGAGAGCAAGGTATCTTCTTCTCCAATGTAAACAAGTTAGGAGGCTCAAAAGGCTCCAGAACCATTCAAGCTGCACCTCTGGGAGCAATAACTTCAAAGTTCAAGGCCTTTAATGCTCCGTAACCAACTTCAGAGAGCACAGTGATTTTACAGGTTACCCAAGTTTACATGAAAGGATTACAGCCAGACAAGCAGCCCTAAGAATGGCTCACAGACTGGAGTCTGCTGGGGCCTCTGTGCCTTTTGAACTCCTCCAGCAATTCTAAATGACTGGGGAAATGCTGTTAAAACACTGTGTTCAGTTTTGATATCAACTCCTCCAATATTTATATGAAAACTGTAATGCTGTGTCCTGTTCAGAGAATCACAGAATGGTTTGGATTAGAAGGGACCTTAAAGTCCATCTTGTTCTACCCCCTGCCATGGGCAGGAAGACCTTCCACTAGACCAGGTTGCTCTTGTCCAACACTGGCCTTGGACACTTCCAGGGATGAGGCAGCCCCAGCTTCCCTGGGCAACCTGTGCCAGAGCCTCACCACTCTCACAGGGAAGAATTTCTTCTTATATCCAATCTAAAACTCCCCTCCTTCAGCTTAGGGCCATTTTCTCTCGTCCTGTCCCTCCATGCCCTTGCAGCTCAGTCCATAGCTGATCCTGTAGGTCATCAAAGATGAAGAGCCAAAATCTGGCCTTTGTCGTGTTTCTTTGGGCTTGATTTTGGATTTTTTGTTGTTGGGCTTTCTTTCTTTTTGTGCTTTTTTTAGCTTTCTTTTGTTGGTTTTAGGGTTTTTTTTATGGAAAGTATAATGGGAATTAAAGTGCAAGTTTAACTGAACATGCACATCAAACTTTGGGTTGGAACTGGAGGATCCTTCAGTCCCTTCCAACCCAAACTATCCTGTGATCCTGTGACTCTGGCAGTGCTGCCAACTCATGTCCCAACCAGAGCTGCTGGAGCCAGTTTTCCAGCATGAGTCAGCAAGGTCCAAGGCCCCAGGAGCAGGGTGACTCAGCAGCTGTCAGCCTGTGACGAGGCACTGGAACAAAAGTGACCTGGTTTGCAGCCAGCGCTCGTGACTCTGCTGGTGTCACTTGTCAGGGACCTGCTCTCTCAGCTGACAGTGTTACCAGGCTTTAACCACCTCCCCCCTTTATTTTTCCTGTGGAAACAAAATCATGATCCATCTATTATGCATGGTTAGAAAGGGATCCAGCTAGAAGCTACGCCCTGAGCAGCCACAATGGGTGGCTGCAGTTGAACAGAATGAAAAGAGAGAGTTTCTGCTTTAAAAAGACTAGAAATACATTACAATAACTTCATCTGAGGGTTTTTTTTTGTTATAGTTCTTTGAGCTGTTGTTGACAAAATGAACTGAAGCAGAAAATTACTTGAAAATAAACTGAATACCCTGCAATTTCCTTCCTTTTCTTCCCCATTTTTCAATGAAGGGAGAGCTATCAGAGACATCAAAGAGAAGGGAAATGGCATTTAATCTGACAAATCTATATTTTAAATCAACTTCATAAAAATATTTAAACTAAAAGAAAGGTTGAGCATATCCATTTTCTTAAATGTTGGTAACTTTTCTGGATGGCAAAAACCAAGTTAAAAAACTCCACTCTGTTTAGCCACTTTTTTTCTGCAGAGCCTTGAAGGACCTTTACCTTTAGAGATGATAATTATGACATGTTCATTTTGTTCTATGCTGAATTTCCAGTATAGATAAAGGCTGTATTAACTGGCTGTGCTTTGCCCAAAGGGTGGAAATTTCAATTCCCAAATTTTTATCCAACATAAACTACTAAAAAACTTTTAACATTATGGTATGATGTCATATTAGCAAAAAAAAAAACAAACATTTTTTCTTCACGCAAATCTATACTGTAAAAAACTTGTAAGAAGATATCAGTGAGTGAGCACTGGAAGAGGTTGTCCAGAGGGGCTGTGGAGTCTCCATCCTTGGAAATATTCAAACACAGTCCTGGGCAGCCTGGTGTGGGTGGTCCTGCTTGATCAGGGGCATTGGACCAGATGACTTTCACAGGTCACTTCCACCTTCAACCACTCTGTGATTCTGCCATTAGGCATCAAATACTGATTCCCATTACAGCAGTGTCAATCCAGAATAATTTTCCTAATTTTAGTGGAGTACACCCTCATTTTCAGTGACATTAAAAGCTGGCATATGATGTAGAGAAATCATGTATCAAACAAACAAAAGTATAAATTACCTGTTTGTTCCGATTTTCAAAGTCAAACATTGCTTTCTTGCTCTCTTCCTGGCTGGCTAATAGAATTTCATGAAGTTTTTTGTAGAAATCAGAGACTTCAGCTTCTCGTTTTTCATACTCTTCCAGTCCATAGTTATACAGTTTCCCACAAACTGAGACAAACTCCTTCCTGTATGTGACAGCAGAGTCAAGGGCTTTGCTTGTTCAGTGGAGCAACATGTTATGTTCCCTCCACTTCTGCAAATCTGAGGAACAAGAGCTACAAGCTACTTTTATGTAAACCCTGTGGTTCTTGCTGGGAGCAGGCTGCCAAATATTCTGTCTGGGGAAGGACTGGGTCACCCCTTCACATTTTATGCAGAGGATTTTGCTGCCTTAAGGGTACGGAGAAAGCTGTGGCAATTTGAGGGGGCAAAAAGCCTTGAGGAAGAGAAGGAAATGCATACACTTGTCTGACTCTTCTGACACAGCAGCAGAAGGAAGCGTACAACCCTATCTATCTTCACAAGTGTGAATACAGTGCCTGGGTAGTTAATAAATACAGCTCTGGAGCCTACAGCCAGAGCACAGAATAAACTACTGACTTGGTAGCATCACAAAAATAACGTCAATTTTTCTTCTGCTATTATCTTGGCAACGGAATTGTTTTTGGAGTCTACTGTAGTTAAGCCGTGATGCATTTTTCCCCAACAGTGTAATGCAATTTTAAGGAAGGTCAAGTTACTGGCCTTGACAATACTCTATTAATCTGAATGAGAAAAGAAAAAAGGCAAAAAAAAAGCGTCTGCTTTCTGCTCCCCCGTGTAGGAGCAATGATCAGAAAAATGTGCTGGCCTGGAAACTTCCCGTTGCCAGTTCTGGCAGGTTGTGAGATATGCGACTCGTATCGTTCTGATTAGTCTGTTCCTATCTCCCACCACTTCAATTTCAACATGATTTTAGCGGCTGCGCTCTCACAATCCAACTGACAGAGATTTATCTTCCAGCTCATTTTAAACTTTAAGTGGATTGCAGACTTAAAGAAAGTACAAAGCCTTGATTCTTGCGGGGTCACAAAAGGAGGCCGCCGAAATTGTGTTTGGTTCAGGGGAAGGAAAAGGAATATGGTAATTACAACGGTGAGAATTTAAAACGCTGGGATCTCATGACCTGTCGGGGATAGAAACGAGTGGTTTTACAAATGGGATGTTTCAAGCTGGGCTGGCCAGCTTGCCAGTAATATGAACCATTTGTTTGGAGCCCTCATATTTCACAAGATATCAAGCCTTAAAGCTGTCAGTGGTCTCACAGTCTTGCAGCGTAATTTTTGGTACCATTCCAAAATTGAACACAGACTGTCTCAGATCTTAGATCAATGTAGCTTTCAGCCCTGGACAAAAGCAAAGGATGAAGAGTCCCTGTGGGTACACCTCTTTCTTAACTCCAGGCATTACCTTTTAGCTGTAGGTATTCCAAACCCAGGAAGGATATGCCTGCAGCAGGTCCCCCACTCCAGGGAGGGAAGCCAGTTTGGCAGCTTCTGTATCATCTTCATACAGACTGTCAAACAGGAATGATCCATTCAGGTGCTCAACAAAGGCTGTCTTTGAAGAGAAACAGAGGAAAATAAGTAAAATAAAGATGCCAACCTGCTGCCAGTCCTCAGGATGTGTCTCTCTTACAAGCACCTCACCAGCAGCTGAACACTGGTGCAGACACAGTTATACCAACACAGCAGACACACCAACCAAGCCAGGAAAGCACCTTGCAACTGGAGTGAAACCCACCCCAGGGGCTTTGCTGCTACAACTCTGTAGCCTAAGGATAGAAAACACTGTTTAATCTCATATCATAGAATCATAGAATCATAGAATGGGTTGGAAGGGACATTAAAGAGCATTTTGTTACAACCTCCTGCCACGTGCAGGGACACCTTCCACTAGACCAGGCTGCTCCAAGTCCCATCCAGCCTGGCCTTGGACATTTCCAGGGATGGGGCAGCCACAGCTTCTCTGGGCAACCTGTGCCAGTTGCCAATATATGACCTTATCACATACAAACACATATTGCAAGGCTTTTAAGCCTTTCAGGTAAAGTGTTAGTGGACTTTGGAGAGGGCTGGAGGGAAAACATGCAGACATCCTCCCTGTCACTGAACCACCTCCTGCTCTTCAGCCCGTGTGACCTTCCAGAGGTCTGAAATACAGAGCCAGGCCACAAATGAAAGCACCATTCTGCCTGGTGTTGTTTTCAGTCTGGTCACAGGACTACAGGGATCTCTCAAAACCCTGAAGAGTTTAACCATAAAACTAATGAAAAGCCATTAACTTAGTGTGAAGGAGAAAAAAAGTCACTTCCCTATGAAAATTCTAACAGTTCCCTCAGACCTGTAATTTTCTCAATCTCATGTCAGGTTGATAAATTCCTTGGGTATGATTTACTATTTAGCTTTCCAGGGTCTATATCTGTAGTTCCATTGTTCAGCCCAAAGAATTATGTTCTCCCATGTCATGTGTATTCCACAGCAGTTCCTGTTTTCATTCAAAAGATGAGATTCAGGGATCACAGAGATTAATCCAAGCCTTAGTTTTAGCAGAGTCGATGTTAACCTCTCATTAAATCTCCAAGCATGTAAAAGACAAGTCAATATGTGTTTGTGCTTCTTTCTCCTGAGACAACACACAACCAGCCAAAGAAAACCTACCTCATGGTACTCCAGCTCTTCCTGCTTTGCCTGTTTTATCTCCTGAAGAGCAAGGGCCCGAGCCTCTTCTTGTTCCAAGGGCTTAGTAAGATCTTGATACTTTGAAACTGCATCTTCTCTCTGAGAAATACAGATAAAGCATTTGTATTAGATTATCCAGCAGTGCTCAACAAATCTGGGCATAGGTAATTGATCTTTCTAGAAAATGCACCTGAGTGACATCTGCATCTCCATCTATTCGTGGGCTTTTTATTAAACTACTTATGAAGTTTCTAATCCATTCCTCATACCATTTTCTGTTGGCATATTACTCTGCTTCTGCATTCAGTGCATCTGAGCTAATTCAGTCGCAGGAAACTTTTCTCTCCCCATTTTCTCATCTTTGGAGTTGTTTTTTTCTCTCTTGGCAGGAAGTACTATTTTGACTTCTAGAATTTGAGCTCTGATTTGATCAGCCAGTGAGGTTAATACATTTTCTAGGGAGGAAGAAGGCTCTTTGGAGGAGTGGATGGCAAGGTAGTACCAGGGGCAAGAACCTCATTAGCTTGAAACTGAAGCTTGACAAATTTAAGTATGCAGTTCTCTGACGTACTGTCTGATGAGCAGGGACTGCACTCCATGACCTGGAAAGCCCTTCCAGTCCTATGCTAAGAGCAATGTATCTTCCAAGTACAGCTCCTGCTCTGTGCCAAACAAATTTACAATTAATCATGTTCCTTGGTTACTAAAAAAACACCTGAACAAAAAAACCCCTCATCTTTGTTCCTTTGAGCTGTGGGATGAAAAAGCATCCCACGGGTTACTGGTGAGGATGAACTATCAGAAATCAAGAGTGGGAAGTGCTTCCAGGCACCTCCTTGCCTGGATGGTCTGTCAGTCTGCCACTGAAATAAATGTCTCTGTGAGCAGCAGGACCACCAAGCTTCCTTCCCCCTGGATCCTTGTCTCAACACTCATTTCTTTGAGTTCTCTAAGAAGACTTGCACTCACACTGCAGCCTCTCTGTGGCAGCAAGAACCAGGCCCCTCTCCCACACACAGCTGCTGATTTTCACAAAATCTGTGAAGACATTGTGCTTCTGACACCTTTACCCCTCTGTCAGATTTGATAGAATTTGGCCTACAGGTTCACAGCTGTTAGGTGGAAGAAGAATAAACACTGTGTGCTTCTGTGAGCCTGATTTCTGCAGGGAGCCTGCCCTCAGTGCTGGAATATTGCTGGCACACCAACAAAGGAAAGGCTCTGTAAGAAGCTGTTGCCTGATTTCCCAAGCAGGGAATTGCAGAAATCTTACCGTGGTGTCTCTCACGAGCTTGAAGTCCAAGTACACCAGGTTTGGAAGATGAGCAACAACAAACAGCATGTACTGCTTGTCATCACAGAAGGGGTTCCCAGACAGGTTCAGTGTCCGTAAGCTTTTTAACCTCCTGAGATAGACAACCTGTGCCAAAGGGAAAGAGACCTGTACTTCCAACTGCTGGGGAAACACAGCCTTGAAATTTGTTGCTCTTTTTACATTTAGGTTGGAATATGTTTTCTGCTCCACTGCAAAATTCATATGACACTCAATTATGAGTTTCTAATGCTTTTGGGAAAGGAAATACGTAAATTCACATTGGGAATACCTAGACAATGGGTGGAGAGAGAAGGCAGATGGGGTAGGCAAATCACAGGTCTTAGATGGGTAAAATGCCCTGAAAAGAACCCCCAGTAAATCCTAGTCTCCTTCCTTTTCTCATATGTAACCACTTATCCCTTTTCTAGCTTTCATGGGAGCCAATAGGAATTTTGCCATGGCTGACAGCAGTGACAGAACTGGGCCCCCAGGAGTCAATAATCTAAAGGAGAAGTGGCTGCAGGAAGCACTCAACACCAGGACAGAGGATCCAAACCACAGTGGACATTAGACTACTTAGAAATCCTAAGGAGAATTTTCTCCCCTAGGGAGGGGCTTGGATTCAGTGGCAAATGTCAGTTTTAGAAAATCTGATCCTTTGACAAGGAATCTTTTCAAAGGCAGGGAGCACTCACATTTTCCAGATTGGTCAGGTTATTCTTCCCTATGGAGAAAATCTGCAGCTCTTGCAACGTGTCCATATTCTCAATTTTAGATATTCTGTTACTGTAGAGACTGAGGTCTTGCAGTTTGACAAGGGTATCCAGGCCCTCAATTACTTCAATATTGTTGAAGGACAAGTCTGGGGAAGAGTTTAGAAATCAAAGGTAAATTATTTCCAGCAGAACACCCTGATTCAGACCTTGCATTTAGCCTGGCTCTGGATTTAGGAGTTTATGTACAGATTTTCCTCAGGGGTGGTCAGTGTCCCCACAGGAAAAGCTTGGCATTAAATCATTCTTTATTCCTATCTCCTCATTGCAACTGTCCATGCAAATTCTAAATGAGAGGAACAGCTGAAGTTACTCCATGCAGAGTCCACATACACAGCCTGAAAGGGACTTCTGCCTTATGGGGAAACCCAAAACACAAGAGGTGGGGAAATTCCCTAAGAGGGGAATTTCTGTGAGGAATTTCTGTGACAAATTTGACACTCCTCACCTTGTTTCTTTCAGACTTTGACCTGCCACACCAATGCCACTGTTGTGGTCACTCTCATAGGACAGACATATCCCAGTTCCACATCAGTGGAGGTTTGCAAAGGCATACACCCACTTTATATATTTCAGTCCTTGAAACATCCTCTTCTCCTGCCAGAACATCTATCCTAACACCACGACTAAGGGCAGTATTTGCTCTCTGGCCAGTACTGAGCAATTCAAGAGTCCAAAGACAGTTGATGAGGTTACTTGGGTGGCTGAGACACTCGTGCAGCAGCAGCAGCTGAACCACTGCAGCCTTTGGGCAAACAGAACATGAGAATGTGCTTCAAAACACTCTGCTTACACTGTGGTGATCAGTTGGTGATTCACAAGTGCATCAGTCATCTGTGGAGCAGAACAGTGCAGACAACTGGGTGGAAGAGCCCATTAGACATCTCACGATGTGCTTACGAGCTGCAGCCCTGCGTGCTGAGGATATATTTAGACTTCCAGCCAGCAATGTGGCTACAATTCCAGAGAATGCTCCAAGCTGTGCATCTGTGCAGCTGAAAGGAGTCACATAAGGCTACAAGGACAGGCACTTCTTGGGACAACAATGACACCAAGCCCTTAAGGATGCAGGGGTAAAGATGGCGGGTTGCAGGCTCTGAAATGCCTGCAGTAGCTTTGAAAACATGCTTCTAAATCACAGAGGTGCTTCCATAAATATTCCTGAAAGTCATCTCCAAATACAATACGAACCCTGGAAACAACCTTGAAACCTCAGCATCCTGTTCCTGCCACACCAAATGTATTGAACCCAGTTTTGAAACACATGAAGGATTGTTTTGCAGCTCTGATACTCAGGCATTTTGACATTTGACAGTCAAATAAGGAAACACACAGACAGCTGACAGCCTTCCCTGGGAAAGCTCCTATCAGTCGTGTTTGAGAAGAAAGGTGACATCCTGGTTTATCACAGATTGCTCTGCACCTGTGAAGGACCCAACCTCCTATGCCTGTATCTCACCAAGCCATACAAGGTGAACCAGACTCTCCAGAGCTTCTATCTTCTCAATGACATTGTTGTCCAGCTGCAGTTTAGTCAGATTCTCCAGCCGCCACAGATTATCAATCTGCAGGATACCTAAAGCCACAGGGGAAAAAAAAAATAAAATAAAATTGCTTTTCATGTGAGACAGCTTTTGGTTTACCAGACACGCTGTCTTGCACAAGAGAAACATGTCCAGTCCCACCTCCAAAATGACTTTCAGCGTGTGATGAGTGCCCTGGAGAGCTCAGAGGTGCACTGGCTGGATGAGATTTCAATGAAACAGCCCAGTTAACCTCAGTGTCCTGCACCAGTGCATGCTGCTCATCAGTGAGGCCAACGAGGCGCGGAGGGGCTGCTGACTGTGGCCCTGCACTCCAGTGGCTTTATGAATCCACCAGTAGGAGGCCTTGACCTTCATTTTCCCTTCCAGCTCCGAGAGGGACATTTGGGATGAGCTCTGCTTTTCTCTGCATTTGCAGTCTAGCAGTTCCCAGCTCCTGCTTTTGTAAATGACTCTCCTGCTCCCAGCATTCTCATCACAGGAGAGGAAGTTAGAGTCTACTCTTTCAGTGAAGGCTGCAGTTTAGAACTAATCAATATCCCTGCATTTAGCTTCCTCCAAAAAGCAGAATCACAAGGGCAGGCTGTTAGGCACTACATCAAAACATCAGCACCAAAGTGACAGGAAATACAGAACATTCTCATCCCCATTTCTCTTCTCAGAACTCATCAGTTGCTCTCCAGCTATCCTCATTTACTGAGGGCACACTAGAGCAAGAAATTGCATGCACAAAATATTCACACAGTCTGTATTTCGTATGTGCAAACAAATCTATGATCCACTAGGATCAGGTCAAGGGAGTCTTTTCTAAGGAAATCAACTCATACACACATTATTTTACTGGAGCACACAATGAATAATCGAGAGTAGATTTTTGCCCATCAAATTATAACACCCTCCCCCCAATACTCAAATATTGAGCCAAATGTTCTTCCTTTTCACTTTTTGAATGCAAGTTTACGGCTGGTTTGATAGTAAGAGGCAAGCTGTGAAAAAGCTATGGATGACCAGAGGACATCACCAAATTGGACTGTAATCACCATAACCCCCAAAATTGCTCTCACACAATCACCAGCCATGGCAGAGCCTGCCCGGGGTTGGATTTGTCCATGCACTGAGGGGCCCTATAGGCCCGTGGCCTGTAGGTGTCACCACAATATAAATGTTAAATGAGAACAGCAGTGACAATAACAATGGGAAGCAAAGCAGCTTTGAGGTTACCCATCAGCTCGCTCATACTTTGCACAGGGATGACCAAAAATGTAAGTCCAGATGTTATTTTTCACATAAAAATTCCAAGCTAATTGTGATTGTTTAATTGCCCGCCCTGTGCTTTGCTCTATTACCTTCTAACAAAAGAAGAAGGAAAGAATGCATATATTCTGATACTCACTTTTAAAGCTAAGCTGTAGCTCTGTCACATCCTTAAAGTTAATATTTTCCCCTTGGGCAAGTTCTCCAAGGTCCTCTGGACACGTCTTTTCAACGGCTTTCAGAACCATTTCATCATCGATAATGTTTGGCTCGACGTCATTGTAAAACTGACTCATTGTGAGAAGTGTCAGCCTTAAAGGACAGAAAGGAAAAATAAATTAGATCACTGCCCTGCTAAAATTTCCAGCAGTCACAGAATCACAGAATTCCAGAATGGTTTGGGTGGGAAGGGACCTTAAAGTTCATCCAGTTCCACCTCGTGCCGTGAGCCGGGACACCTTCCACTAGCCCAGGTTGCTCCAAGCCCCGTCCAACCTGGTCTTGGATATTTCCAGGGATGGGGCAGCCACAGCTTTTCTAGGCAACCTGTGCCAATGCTTGACAACACTTTCAGTGATGAAATTCTTCATGGAAATTTAAATGTCCCTAATGTTGCCCTGGAGGCATGAGACTATTTGTCTTTCCAGAACCGTGCACAGCTAATGAGTCAGTGTGAAGGACTGGAATCGTCAAGCTTTTGCTTGTGTAAGATGTCTGTAATTATGGAATTTGTTCTGATTTTTTTTTTTTTTTTTTTTTTTGCATAGGACAGGAAGGATAAATGTCTGAGTTTAGGGAGTTCTGTCCTCATCATGGCTTTTTATTAACAAACCAAATCTGTGCTCAGTAAAGACTAAAGGGCAGCAAGTTCTGGGTTTATCCATCCTTGCCCTTCCTTTCCACCTTTCTTGTAGAATCCCAGGATGGTTTGGGTTGGAAGGGACCTTAAAGCTCATCTCGTTCCACCCCCTCCCATGGGTAGGGACACCTTCCATTAGACCAGGTTGCTCCAATCCCTGTCCAGTCTGGCCTTGGGCACTCAGCGATGAGAACTTGTCATTCGTCCCTTCAGAAGCGTCCCTTTAGAAGCGTCTCTTCTAACCACCTTTCCCCGGTGTGTGGGAAGAGGCCACCGGTTCCCCCCGCGAGACCCACCGAGGCCGAGATCCCGGCCTCTCAGGCCTCTCACCCGCAGGCTCCGAGTCGGCTCTGTGCCCAGTTCCTAATTCCTTATTCTCGATCCCCTATCCCCGATCCCCTATTCCCGGTTCCTGGTCCCCGGTTCCCACCCGCGCCTCGGCGCCCGTTGCTAAGGAAGCTCGGGCGCGTTGCTAAGGGCGGCCACATGACCTCCTCAGGTACCAATGGGCGCGGAGTGGGTGGGAAGGCCTGCTGCCAATCAGGGCGCAAGAAATCCGTGTCAGCCAATCAGCGCCGGGACCGTGCCCTAGGGGCGGAAAGGGGTTCGCGTGATTGACGTTTTTCTTACCCAATAACGTTACAAAAAGGTTTGGCCTTTGCCCAATGGCGAACTGCAGTCGCAGTGTCCCCACTGTCCATCAACCGGGGGCGGGGAAACGGGCGGGACTACCGTGAGGGCGGAGCCCTCGCTTGACAGTGATGGACACGTCTCTCAACCAATGACACTGCGGCGCGTCCGGACAGAGCCCAATGGAACGGAGGGAGGCGGGTCGCTCTGGTCAGAGCGCGCTGCGATTGGTGGCCGCGGCTGTCCAGTCAGCGGCGCGGTGCGGAGGGGGGCGCCCGCGGCGCTGTTTGTTGTCATCCCAAGATGGAGTTTCTCTGGGAAACCGTTCAGCACCCCGTGGGGCAGGCCTTCGGTACGGGCGGCCAGGGGGGGCGCGCGGGGGCCGGCGAGCCCGGGGAGCAAGAGGGCCTTTGGAGGGTGGCGGGGGCCCCCGGGCAGCGCGGTGGGGCTGGGTGTCGGTGAGGGGCTGTGGGGGCGGTGGGGGGCTGGAGGGCCCGATGGGGGGCTCTGGGGCGGTCGATGAGGGCTGTAGGGGCTCGAGGGGTTAGTGAGGTGATTGTGGGAAGCGGTCTCTGAAGCGCGCCATTGGGGCTCTGGCGGCGTCGGCGAGGGGCTGGGGGTTAGTGGGGATATTTGGGGGTTGGTGGTGATCGCTGGGGGTTGGTTGGGGGATCTGGGAGCATGGTGAGGCAGCTGTTGGGCTGCTGGGGGGCTGTGGAGGTGTGGGGGGTGTCTGTGGGGAGTAGGGGTTGTGAGGTTAGGTGGGGGCTCGGAAGGGTGGGAGGGGGGTTTTTTTTTGGGTGTGGGGGGTGCTGGAGGCCTCGGGGGCGCTTTTGTGGGGTTAGTGAGGGTCGTGGGGGGCTCGGTGGGCAGCCAAAGGCTGGAGGGCAGGGGGGCCTTGGGCAGCCTGTTGTCCATGGGGAGGGAGCGATTCCATGTCGAGATGGATGAAGGAAAGTTGTTGTATCTCCCAGCTCTTTCTCCTGCATTGTGAGTGCCTTGTTCCAGACCACCCTGTTGTTGGTCCACCTTTTCCCAGAGTGCTGAAATCCCCCTGGACCTGTGTGTGTGCAGGGGGGCGATGTGGTTCAGAGACACAAACATGGGCTCAGCGTTCAGCCTGGAGCTTGAGCTGTGGTTTTGGTGACACTTTGGTGCCATTAGCAGGTGGTTCTGAGCCAGCTTTCACTGCTTGGCCAGTCAAAGCCTCCCTGGGCTGCTGGAGCTATTTCCTGCCTCCCACAGACACGTTCATTCATGGCAACCCAGGTTTCAGTCTGGGACCCTCGGGGAAAGCCTGGGCACCACTTGTGCAGAGTTTGATAACTCTGAGTTCTCACCTTGGCTAGGTGGGCTCTCAGTGCCTCCTGCACTCCTCTCTTGAGCCCTGAAGAAATATAAGATCTCTGACATTGTGCTGGGAAGGAACAGGCTGGCTCAGGTTCCTGCAGTGCGGGGCTGTGCTGGGCAGTCCCCAAGCCAAGGTGAGGCTCAGTTGAGCAGCTATTCTGGGAGGAAAGGTTAGGAGAATTGGGATTGTTCAGCCTGGAGAAGAGAAGGCATCAGGGTGACCTAATGGTGGCCCTCCAGTACCTGAAGGGAGCTGGACAGGGACTTGGGACAAGGGCAAGGAGTGACAGGACAAAGGGGAATGGCTTCACACTGCCAGAAGGCAGGGTTAAATGCAATATTGGGAAGGAATCCTTCCCTATGAGGGTGGGGAGGCCCTGGCACAGGTTGCCCAGAGAAGCTGTGGCTGCCCCATCCCTGGAAGTGTCCAAGGCCAGGGTTGGACGGGGCTTGGAGCAACCTGGGCTAGTGGAAGGTGTCCCTGCCCATGGCAGGGGGTGGAACTGGATGGGCTTTTAAGGTCCCTTCCAACCCAAACCATTCTACAACTCTATGAATGCTCTTGTGTTGACATCCCCCTCTGGAGAAACCATGCTCTGTTTCCTTGATTTCTTAAGCAACAGGAATTCTAATGCCTTTTTTATGGGTCACATAGAATATAATATTCAAAGCCAGGTTGGATGGGGCTTGGAGCAACCTGGTCTAGTGGAAGTTGTCCATGGCAGGTCTTTAAGGTCCCTTCCAACCCAAACCAACCTACAGTTCTATAATGTACAGCTATGCATAGTGTAGCCTATAGCTTTTCTATGTTAATTTATGGAATGATGGAAGTCTTTGAAAATTGTCATGGAAAAATTTTGCAGAGCAAACCTCTTTTATTGTAGTCTCCTCACCCCTATGTGCAGGGGCAGCCCCTGGTCAAGGTAAAAGGCCCTTGAACTGGTGAGTCTCATGCTGTACTTTGAGCAGGGCTGGACTCTTTGTCAGGATATATGGAGCATATGTATAACTTGCTGTTTGTCCTCAGCCATCTGGGGTGTTTATTTCTGCTGCTGAGGGAGAGAAGTGCCGAGAGTCAGAGGATAATAATGAGAACAGTACAAGTTAAAAATGATTTTAGAGTGAATTTGCTTTGTTGTGTTTGGCCATCGGACCACCCCTGCCAGGACAAGCTGCTCCTGGGCCAGGCCTCTGCCTCATCTCTTTATTGACAGCTTTTTTAAGCATCAGTCAGTGGTTTGAAGGGACTTAAGAATTGGTAGGGGGGAGGATGGGAGCAGTAAAATCTGCTATTTTAGCCTCTTTAACTCTGGAGTGCAAAGGTTTTCACAGCTCTCACATCCCTTTGCTCGCTGCCAACTTTGGGGCTTTGAACACTGAGCTGCTTCCATCAGATAAGGTCAGGTGTGCAGCTTCCCTTAATGCAAAATTCAGCTGCACTTTAAGAATGGGTTTTTTTCACTCCCAGGGGGAAGAGATAGCTGCAGATTTTATTTTGGAAGACAAATTTTTCTGCTTCTCCTGTTGCTGCTAGTTATCCCTTTCTGAGACAGCAGTAAAACAAAAGCATGCCTTGTTCTCAGACACTGCTATTTGCCCAGTGCTTCCACAGTTTGTTTTCCCAGTGAGCTTGTGGAATGTAATTTTCACTTATGTTTCTCTTCATTCTTTAAAAGAAACTGAATAATTTTGTATTTCTGTTTAAACATATTGTGTTGAACACAGTTGTGATGTTTTCAAGCAAGGCCTAACACTCACCATAAGGAAGAAGTGCAGAAAATCCTGTAGGTCCATCGGCACACCAAGAATGTGTGTTCTCTGCCAGGAAGCAGCAGAGGTTCACGTGAAGATTTAATTAGGGCTCTACAATGTCTGCAGATAAATGCCAGGTCTGAAAGAACAAAGATGTCAGAGAAGGTTTGGGGAGAGCCTAGAGAGGTAATACAAGGGATTTTCTCTTTTCTGCTCTTTATCTGGATAATGTCTGAAGCCAGGCAGGCTTTTTATGTTAACTCTTTTGCTTAATGTGGGAAAGTAATGCTGGGATGAGCTCAGAGGATTTGTAATGGAGATGGATAGAGTCTCCTGCATCTAAAGTGCCAATTGAAATGGCAGCCAGGTTCCTCATGGCTGAAAGCTACCTGAATTTTGGGCTGGCTTATATGGTACCCTCTATTCAATTCCCAGTGGTGTCATGGCAGAAACTGTATAAGCCATTACCATGGCTGCTAATTACAACCCTCTCTTAATTTTGCTGTAATACTTTGATTGACCTGTGGCCACTGAACTGTCCTTGTATCTTCAGCAAGGTCTTCTCCTGAGCAGAGGGGGTAGGGTTTTGGTGGGATGTTGTGTGGAAGGCAGGCAGCTGTGCCTAAGAGATTCCTGAACTCACAAAATCATTTTCATTCCACATTACATTTTGGCTGGAGGTTGCTGAGAAGGGAGGTAATATATAAATATATAAACTACAAATCCCATTCAAGATTTTGTAGTAGAATCCAAAACTTCCCAAAGGTTTTGTGAGGTGCTTTTCAGAAGATCCTCGTGGAGGCTGGTGAGAGTCCAGAGGGTGGAACTGGGTGCCGTGGCTTTGTAGGCTGCTGAGTATGTTGGGGTTGACAAGATCCTTTGTGCCACTGGGTGCTGGCCCTGTTCTTGCAACTGAACTCTTTATTTTTTTCCAATTAATACTGTAAATACTAGATCCTTAGAGGAAGTCTATTTTGAAAAATATCCTGACAAGCTGAGGAAGAGAAGAGCAGGAAGATGTGTAGGAAAGCAGCGCTGACAGAGTGCTCACTGTGTGGAGAAGGGCTGGCCTGGGGAAAGAGCTGCAATTTACAGTAGTGGGAATTTGCCTTGAGATTCACCATCCTGCCATAAATTGCATTTTTATCTTTCTTTGTTCAACGGAGCCATCTTTAAAGTGTCACCACTCTATTCAAGGTTATTAGAACAAATACCCTTCCTGCAGGTTAGCGAAAACATCCCCGATGATTAAAGCTGATTGAATTACAGGAATGTGGAGTGCTGGTGACTTTTTTTTTTTGGTCATTCTGCTTATTTGATATTGGCCATATGGCTTACACATGAGAACACAGGAAAACCTGGTTTAGTGCTTTTGGTTTTTTGCCCTGGAGACTTCACAAAGGCTTCAGGAAAGTATTTATTTGTTTGAATCCAAACCAAGCTCTGCTGCTGCCCCCCTGCCTGGCTCCCTCAGGTGAGGAGGGCTGAGCTGGGACAGTGAGGTGTGAAATGAGGTGGTGAATGGGGGCATCAAGGTCCCTTTTGGTTGAGCTGTGAGTGCTGCTGAAATCAGCTGTTCTCCCTGCAGCCCGAAATCTGCTTGACCCGGAGCCAAAGACCTCCGGGAGAGACATTCAGCAGCTCAGTTAAGTGCACTGAGACCTGAAAGTTAATTTTTAACGATATAGTAGAAATTAAGTTGTTCTGTGTGACTGGAGGGGGGTGGCTCAGGTGCTGCTGATTTACAACCCTGGTCCCTGTTGATGAAGAGAGGTTTCAGAGCAGGGTGCTGGTCTGGGCACGTGCCTTGG